CTTCTAGGACTCTGATCCACCTTGAGTCGAATTTGTGTACATTGTGAAATGTGGATCCTGCTTCAGCTTTCTGCAGGTAGCTGTCCAGTTTTGCCAGCACCTTTTTTTGAAGAAGTTATCGTTTCTCCGTTTGATCAGTTTTATTTCCTTGTCAAGTATCAGGTTTTATTTCTTTGTCAAGTATTAGTTGACCATAAATGGATGGATTAATTTCTAGATTCTCAAAAAGGTTCTTGACTTTTGTATATAGATACAGTTTCTCAAAGTTTTCTTTCTTTTCCTAATTTAAAAATACTGCTCTGGAATCTTCTGGTTTCTAGGGTTGATACTGTAAAGTCAGACATTCATCTGATTCTTGGCTTTGTGAGTAATCTGTTCTTTCTGCAGTAACTCATCAGTACCTAACAACAAGCAACCCAGCCCATCAGCTGCATTCTTTATTTCAGCTTTTAATTTTTGATGCCATGGATTTTCAATTGCATTTTCCTTAATGATACTTTTTTCCTGCTTTGTGTTTTAAGTGTTCTGTTTTTTAGATTTATTATAATTTATTTTAAATTCTTGTTTTGTCAGGGCCAGAACTTCTACTTCCCTTACTTAAAAAGACATTTTTGTTTTATTATCTCTTTAATGGTTTTTATGTATATCCAGATGTCTCTTATTTTTCCTTTAGAAATAGTCACTGCCTTGTCTAGAGATACATCGTTTGGCTAAGGGAGTAGTAGCAATAGCCTGGCCCTAGATGATGCTGGGGTGTGATAGGAACACTTAAATAGTGTAAAAATCTGCACTGCCTAATTCCTTGTTGCATCACCACTTCTACCACACCTATGTCCTAAGCACCTGTGCCACTCAGAAAACTTTCCCTGAACACTCTTCTTTTCCATTAATTTTTCCCTGATGTCAACTTGTTCCCATTCCCAAGAAAGGGGATCCAACAGAATATGGTAATTACAGAACACTATCATTAATATCACATGTTGTTGTTGCTGTTATGTGCTGTCGAGTTGTTTGCGACTCATAGCGACCCTATGTGCAACAGCCCTAAACTCTGCTGTTTTCTGTGCCAATAACACTGTCTGTGACATTCCCATCCCAATTACCCCAGTCATTGAATCAGTCCACCCAATAGAGGGCCTTCTCCTCCTGCACTGTCCCTCCACTCTCCCAAGCATGATGTCCCTCTCCAAGGACCGGTTCACTCCTTACAACATGTCCAAAGTATGTTAGATGGAGCCTCAGAATCCTTGCCTCCCGGCAAGGAGCCACCCAATTTAACCCTTTCCGGGATGAATCTCTTGTTTTCCTAGCAGTCTATGGTATTCTCAATACTTTTCTCCAGCACCATAGCTCAAAGGCATCAGTTCTCCTTCTATCCTCCTTAGTCATTGTCCAACTCTCTAATACATAACAAGTGATAGCAAAGGCCATGGCCTGTATCAGACACACCTTAGTCTCCAGAGAGACACCATTGCTTTTCAGTACTTTGGAGAGGTCCCTAACAGCAGACTTTCCCATTGCAATACGTCTTTTTAATTTCCTGGCTACTGGTGCCAAGAGTGTTGACTATGGAGCCAAGCAAACTAAAGCTGTGAACAGACTCAATCTCTTCACCATCCATCCTGATGCTGCCAATTGGTCCAGTGGTGACAAGAAAAAAAAATAATACTAAGGATCATCCAAAAATGACTAGAACAGAGGACGGCCAGAAGTTAAGGTTGGATTTAGAAGAGGCTATGGCACCAGGGATATCATCACTGATGTCAGATCTCAAGTGAAAGCAGCGAATACTAGAATGTATCTCTGTGTTATATTAATTATACAAGGCATATGACTGTGTGGATCTTAACAATTTATGGCTAACATTGAGACAAATGGGAATTCTGAAACACTTAATTATGCTTATATGAAATCTATACCTAGAACAAGAAACTTTTGTCTAAAACAGAGCAAGGGAACACTGAATGGTTTAAAATCAAGAAAGGAGTGTGTCAGGGTTGTATCCTCTTTCCATACCTATTCAGTCTGTATGCTGAGCACATCATTCAGGAAGATGGACTTTATTAAGAAGAATGTGGCATCAGGATTAGAGGAATACTCATCAGTAACCTTCGAAGTACAGATGACAAACAACCTTATTGACTAAAAACAAGGATTTGAAGTACTTGTTTCAGAAGATCAAAGACTGTATAGATATGAATTGCATCTCAATATTAAGAAAACAAAAATCCTTACTACTGGGTCAGAAGACAACATCATGATAGAGAAAAGATTGAAATTGTCAATTCTTTCCTCTTACTTGGATCCACTGTCAACACCCTTGACCAGCTTTCAGGAGATTAGAAGACATAGGGCTTTAGGAAAGTCAGGTCTTGGGCACCCCTCCAAAGTCCTGAAGAGCAATAATGTCCATCTAAAGACTAAGGAACAACAGATTCAAGTTATATCCCCCCCCCCCAGTCACCTGCTATATATCTGAGACCTATATAGTGGATGAGGATGATATAAGAACAATCAGTGCCTTTGAGTTGTAATGTTAAGAGAACTTATTATCCCATGAACTGCAAAAAGAACAAACATATCACTTGGAGAAAGTACAACCAGAGTGCTCCTTATAGCAAAGATGAAGTTTCATCTCACATATTCAGGGCTTGTTAGGAGGGATTATTTCCTTGGAGGAAGACATCATGATTAGGAAGATGAAGGGTCAGTGGTCAGCAGAGGAGAAAAAAGACCCTCCTCCTGCACTGTGTATTGACACAGTGACTGCTGCAGTGGGCTCAAGTTTGTCAGAGATGTTTAGGATGGCACAGGATAGGACAGAGTTCACATCTGTTGTTGTTAAGGTCACTTGGAGTCCTATATGACTTGGTTGCACATAACAGCAACGTGCATGGGGGAAATAGGTAAAGAAATGCTTTTTATCAGAACTGGTTTTTGTTAGCTTTAAAATCCTTTGTAAATTATGTGGTAAGCCTTTTTCTCCTTTCCAAGGTTATTTTGCCAAGAAATTAGTAGTAAATGCTATTTTTAATGAAGTGAATTTTCTAAAACAAACTTAACAATTACCCAAATTTAACAATGTAATTCACTGTTTTTTAACAGTATCTTACTTTTTCTCACAGTACCTTACTAAGCTCTGAATTATTAAAACTTAGAATAATTTATTTTGTTAATAATACTTTATACCTTTTCTTATCAAAAATATAGGGAATAAAATTAATAATATTTTTATTCATGCCTGTAGTTCATATAGTCTGTATTTTTAATCTAACATGGTAATATAAGAAGTCAAATTCACTAAAGCATGTTCTTTGCATATAAGTTGCTGATTAGTGATCGATAAAGGTGATGTAGGGAATACTAAAATCACAGAGATATTAACTTGATGAGGAAGGAAGAACCCCCAAACTCAACTGCTGTGGTTCTGACTCAACAATTTTCTTTTGGGTTTTAGAAGCTGTAAATTGTAACACAGAGACAGCCCATCATTACTGCACAGAATTGCTGGTGGTTTAAAACCCCCAAGACACTCAGCGTTTGGCTTAGCAGCTCACTTGCTATAGATAACGCTCCCAAAGCTGCCCCCACTTTGAGAGGCAGGGCGGGAAGGGTGGGACATTTCCTAGAGCCTCTGCCAGGTTTGTTTCTTTTCCTTTTTGTAATATGTTCAAGTTTATATTGTGGACCAAACTTGTTAATAGGAAAGCAAGCTTTTCCAAGTTTTTCTCATCAAAAAGGCCCTCATTATGTGATTTTGGGGCAGTGCAAGTTACACTTAGGGGATCATGTTGTGTTCATATCAGCATACTCCTGACCCTGCACCTTTCCTTCTGCCTGTGCTCACCTTGGTGTGCATCCCCAGAGCATCTCTGCAACATCATACTTGTTCAGCCAGCCAGCTTTATTTCAAAAAATACTTTATTATAAATATATTCAAGTCCTCATGTTCAAGAGGTAAATTAAAGGAACTTAACCTAACTATGCTCAGTTTATTTATTAATAGACTTTTAATAGACTGCTCTTGTTCAAAGTTGGTAGTCAGTTGCATGTAAGGTACTTGGAAGTGAGAAGTCATTGTAGCCAGAATATTAAACACATGGCATTAGTATATAATCTTCTTGGTCCTCTTTTTTCACGTCATTTCCTTATCTGCAACTGACTTTTACACTCAAATGAATAGAGAGGTTAGCGAGATAATGTTTCCAGCATTGAGATAGTGTGCCTCGGTGATGCAATGCAATTCTTGAGCCTGGCATGGAATACTGGATCCAGTACCGCTTAGCTTTAAGCAAAATTCTTTTCTTAGATTTGCTTCCTTATCTGTAAAATTGGAACAAGTATATAACTAACTTGTTTTGAGAACTAAACAAGCTAGTTTAACACTATGCTTGATAAATGGAAAATTATACATTTGTTAAATTAATAAATGTTGGCCTTTGTAATTGTACATTGACTATATCATATTGACTCCCCACACTCTATAAAATTCTGAAAATTCTGAGTTACACAGAAATGACAAACTACTAAAGATGTTTCATACTTCCTATGTTATTACTTGTGAAGAAATAATAAGTAATCATCTGTTGGTTTTCACATTTTAATTTAATATTATGCTTTTTTAATCTCACTTATATTTGAAACATGTTATTTAGCATTTCAGTCTACCTTTTGGTTAGAAATACTTGCCTTACCCTAAGATTTAACGTGTTTGTAGAAATTGGGGGGTGGGGAACACCTTGAGAAATATACTTCTTTACAAATGCATCAGAGTAAATTGCACACCCACACATAAAAAGTACAGAATTATGAGATTCAGTATAACAGTTTTGGCATAATACACACACTATCTACATAAAAATAGAGTCCTTGAAATAATAGTAGTGAACACTGAACACCAATAAAATTTACACTTACCATAGTTAGCATTCTACTGCATAAAAATGCAGAATCCACATTCAATGATTAAACATTTGCTATTTCTTTTTCTTTTTCAGAAGATGAATAATCTTTCCTTTAGTGAGCTATGCTGCCTCTTCTGCTGTCCACCTTGTCCAGGGAAAATTGCCTCAAAATTAGCATTTTTGCCACCTGATCCAACTTACACGCTGATGTGTGATGAAAGTGGAAGTCGCTGGACTTTGCATCTGTCAGAACGAGCAGACTGGCAATACTCTTCTAGAGAAAAAGATGCCATTGAATGTTTCATGACTAGAACCAGTAAAGGCAACAGAATTGCCTGTATGTTTGTGCGTTGTTCACCCAATGCTAAATACACTCTACTCTTCTCACATGGAAATGCTGTTGATCTCGGTCAGATGAGCAGCTTTTACATAGGACTGGGATCACGGATTAATTGTAATATATTCTCATATGATTATTCTGGATATGGTGCAAGTTCTGGGAAACCAACAGAGAAGAACCTCTATGCAGACATTGAAGCTGCTTGGCTTGCTCTTAGGACAAGGTATGGTGACTTGGAATTATTTTCCCTACTTGTGATAAGTAACAAATTCTGGGCTATGTAAGAATAGAGTATGTCTTAAACTACTAAATACTTATTGTATTTACCATTATACCTGTAAAATAGTTACACTTTTTACTGCACTTGGAAATTTTACGTAAGAGCGAGAAAAAAAAATTCAAAATACTTTGACTTGTGTTTCTGTATTAGTGCATGCAGATGTGTGCTGCTTAGGGCTGTTTTTGGTTTTAACTTAAATCCAAGAACTAATATTTGGTTTGTTAAACAGTCTTATTGGAGTATAACATAAAAATGCATTCATCATCAATAGATTTTTTTTTAAAAATCCTAAGGCAGAAAATAATTCCTAAGCAAGATCTTATATATTTTATGTAGTTCTCTTTTAGAAGATACTACTTACAGATAATTTATTGAAATGATTCAGTGCTATAAAAAATGAAATTTTACTTTCTACATTCCTAAAATGTAGTGATTCCAGGTTTCCAAGGCTATACATCTTTATGATGCAGACTGCCACATCATTCTCCCTTGATGCATCCTGGTGGATTTGACCCATAGACCTTTCCGTTAGCAGCTAAGCACTTTCAAACACTGTATGTAGCACTAGGGTTCCCCATAAAGATTATAGCCTTAGAAATCCTATAGGGAAGTTCTGCCCTTTCCTATAAGGTAGCTATGAGCCAGAATGAACTTAACAGTAATGAGGGTAAAAATATATGATAAAGTTACACTCACATATCAAAATCATATATGTGTTCTTTGTGTTGTGTTCTATACCATTGAGTCAGAAGCAACTCATAGCTGACACTGGAAGATTTTCAGAATCAGTTAATTGGACTGGAAGAGATTTCCCATCCTTTTCTGTGTAACAGTGTGCAATGTGATCTCAAACTGCATACCTTCAGGATTTCAGCACAGATTTTTGCAACTAGGCTATTAGAGCTATATCCACCAGGATTCAATACACACACACACACACATTTATTCGTGGTTGTTATATGCTAGTTCTGTAATTTTTCATTTAATAATAATATGTGTTCATTTAAAAATGTATGAAAACCTAAATCTGAGGAGGAGGAAAAAAATACATGAGAAATGTACTAGGTATAAAGTTTGTAGAGAGCAGTTATAAGTTGATTTAGAACTATAAAGCCATTTTAATGGAACAAACTTAAATATTTTCAGATATGTTGGGTGGTATACTAGTACATCAATAAATTATATATATAATGAATATATTAATTATGTTCATATATATATATGAACATAATTAATATATTCATTATATATATAATTTATTGATGTACTAGTATACCACCCAACATATCTGAAAATATTTAAGTTTGTTCCATTAAAATGGCTTTATAGTTCTAAATCAACTTATAACTGCTCTCTACAAACTTTATACCTAGTACATTTCTCATGTATTTTTTTCCTCCTCCTCAGATTTAGGTTTTCATACATTTTTAAATGAACACATATTATTATTAAATGAAAAATTACAGAACTAGCATATAACAACCACGAATAAATGTGTGTGTGTGTGTGTATTGAATCCTGGTGGATATAGCTCTAATAGCCTAGTTGCAAAAATCTGTGCTGAAATCCTGAAGGTATGCAGTTTGAGATCACATTGCACACTGTTACACAGAAAAGGATGGGAAATCTCTTCCAGTCCAATTAACTGATTCTGAAAATCTTCCAGTGTCAGCTATGAGTTGCTTCTGACTCAATGGTATAGAACACAACACAAAGAACACATATATGATTTTGATATGTGAGTGTAACTTTATCATATATTTTTACCCTCATTACTGTTAAGTTCATTCTGGCTCATAGCTACCTTATAGGAAAGGGCAGAACTTCCCTATAGGATTTCTAAGGCTATAATCTTTATGGGGAACCCTAGTGCTACATACAGTGTTTGAAAGTGCTTAGCTGCTAACGGAAAGGTCTATGGGTCAAATCCACCAGGATGCATCAAGGGAGAATGATGTGGCAGTCTGCATCATAAAGATGTATAGCCTTGGAAACCTGGAATCACTACATTTTAGGAATGTAGAAAGTAAAATTTCATTTTTTATAGCACTGAATCATTTCAATAAATTATCTGTAAGTAGTATCTTCTAAAAGAGAACTACATAAAATATATAAGATCTTGCTTAGGAATTATTTTCTGCCTTAGGATTTTTAAAAAAAAATCTATTGATGATGAATGCATTTTTATGTTATACTCCAATAAGACTGTTTAACAAACCAAATATTAGTTCTTGGATTTAAGTTAAAACCAAAAACAGCCCTAAGCAGCACACATCTGCATGCACTAATACAGAAACACAAGTCAAAGTATTTTGAATTTTTTTTTCTCGCTCTTACGTAAAATTTCCAAGTGCAGTAAAAAGTGTAACTATTTTACAGGTATAATGGTAAATACAATAAGTATTTAGTAGTTTAAGACATACTCTATTCTTACATAGCCCAGAATTTGTTACTTATCACAAGTAGGGAAAATAATTCCAAGTCACCATACCTTGTCCTAAGAGCAAGCCAAGCAGCTTCAATGTCTGCATAGAGGTTCTTCTCTGTTGGTTTCCCAGAACTTGCACCATATCCAGAATAATCATATGAGAATATATTACAATTAATCCGTGATCCCAGTCCTATGTAAAAGCTGCTCATCTGACCGAGATCAACAGCATTTCCATGTGAGAAGAGTAGAGTGTATTTAGCATTGGGTGAACAACGCACAAACATACAGGCAATTCTGTTGCCTTTACTGGTTCTAGTCATGAAACATTCAATGGCATCTTTTTCTCTAGAAGAGTATTGCCAGTCTGCTCGTTCTGACAGATGCAAAGTCCAGCGACTTCCACTTTCATCACACATCAGCGTGTAAGTTGGATCAGGTGGCAAAAATGCTAATTTTGAGGCAATTTTCCCTGGACAAGGTGGACAGCAGAAGAGGCAGCATAGCTCACTAAAGGAAAGATTATTCATCTTCTGAAAAAGAAAAAGAAATAGCAAATGTTTAATCATTGAATGTGGATTCTGCATTTTTATGCAGTAGAATGCTAACTATGGTAAGTGTAAATTTTATTGGTGTTCAGTGTTCACTACTATTATTTCAAGGACTCTATTTTTATGTAGATAGTGTGTGTATTATGCCAAAACTGTTATACTGAATCTCATAATTCTGTACTTTTTATGTGTGGGTGTGCAATTTACTCTGATGCATTTGTAAAGAAGTATATTTCTCAAGGTGTTCCCCACCCCCCAATTTCTACAAACACGTTAAATCTTAGGGTAAGGCAAGTATTTCTAACCAAAAGGTAGACTGAAATGCTAAATAACATGTTTCAAATATAAGTGAGATTAAAAAAGCATAATATTAAATTAAAATGTGAAAACCAACAGATGATTACTTATTATTTCTTCACAAGTAATAACATAGGAAGTATGAAACATCTTTAGTAGTTTGTCATTTCTGTGTAACTCAGAATTTTCAGAATTTTATAGAGTGTGGGGAGTCAATATGATATAGTCAATGTACAATTACAAAGGCCAACATTTATTAATTTAACAAATGTATAATTTTCCATTTATCAAGCATAGTGTTAAACTAGCTTGTTTAGTTCTCAAAACAAGTTAGTTATATACTTGTTCCAATTTTACAGATAAGGAAGCAAATCTAAGAAAAGAATTTTGCTTAAAGCTAAGCGGTACTGGATCCAGTATTCCATGCCAGGCTCAAGAATTGCATTGCATCACCGAGGCACACTATCTCAATGCTGGAAACATTATCTCGCTAACCTCTCTATTCATTTGAGTGTAAAAGTCAGTTGCAGATAAGGAAATGACGTGAAAAAAGAGGACCAAGAAGATTATATACTAATGCCATGTGTTTAATATTCTGGCTACAATGACTTCTCACTTCCAAGTACCTTACATGCAACTGACTACCAACTTTGAACAAGAGCAGTCTATTAAAAGTCTATTAATAAATAAACTGAGCATAGTTAGGTTAAGTTCCTTTAATTTACCTCTTGAACATGAGGACTTGAATATATTTATAATAAAGTATTTTTTGAAATAAAGCTGGCTGGCTGAACAAGTATGATGTTGCAGAGATGCTCTGGGGATGCACACCAAGGTGAGCACAGGCAGAAGGAAAGGTGCAGGGTCAGGAGTATGCTGATATGAACACAACATGATCCCCTAAGTGTAACTTGCACTGCCCCAAAATCACATAATGAGGGCCTTTTTGATGAGAAAAACTTGGAAAAGCTTGCTTTCCTATTAACAAGTTTGGTCCACAATATAAACTTGAACATATTACAAAAAGGAAAAGAAACAAACCTGGCAGAGGCTCTAGGAAATGTCCCACCCTTCCCGCCCTGCCTCTCAAAGTGGGGGCAGCTTTGGGAGCGTTATCTATAGCAAGTGAGCTGCTAAGCCAAACGCTGAGTGTCTTGGGGGTTTTAAACCACCAGCAATTCTGTGCAGTAATGATGGGCTGTCTCTGTGTTACAATTTACAGCTTCTAAAACCCAAAAGAAAATTGTTGAGTCAGAACCACAGCAGTTGAGTTTGGGGGTTCTTCCTTCCTCATCAAGTTAATATCTCTGTGATTTTAGTATTCCCTACATCACCTTTATCGATCACTAATCAGCAACTTATATGCAAAGAACATGCTTTAGTGAATTTGACTTCTTATATTACCATGTTAGATTAAAAATACAGACTATATGAACTACAGGCATGAATAAAAATATTATTAATTTTATTCCCTATATTTTTGATAAGAAAAGGTATAAAGTATTATTAACAAAATAAATTATTCTAAGTTTTAATAATTCAGAGCTTAGTAAGGTACTGTGAGAAAAAGTAAGATACTGTTAAAAAACAGTGAATTACATTGTTAAATTTGGGTAATTGTTAAGTTTGTTTTAGAAAATTCACTTCATTAAAAATAGCATTTACTACTAATTTCTTGGCAAAATAACCTTGGAAAGGAGAAAAAGGCTTACCACATAATTTACAAAGGATTTTAAAGCTAACAAAAACCAGTTCTGATAAAAAGCATTTCTTTACCTATTTCCCCCATGCACGTTGCTGTTATGTGCAACCAAGTCATATAGGACTCCAAGTGACCTTAACAACAACAGATGTGAACTCTGTCCTATCCTGTGCCATCCTAAACATCTCTGACAAACTTGAGCCCACTGCAGCAGTCACTGTGTCAATACACAGTGCAGGAGGAGGGTCTTTTTTCTCCTCTGCTGACCACTGACCCTTCATCTTCCTAATCATGATGTCTTCCTCCAAGGAAATAATCCCTCCTAACAAGCCCTGAATATGTGAGATGAAACTTCATCTTTGCTATAAGGAGCACTCTGGTTGTACTTTCTCCAAGTGATATGTTTGTTCTTTTTGCAGTTCATGGGATAATAAGTTCTCTTAACATTACAACTCAAAGGCACTGATTGTTCTTATATCATCCTCATCCACTATATAGGTCTCAGATATATAGCAGGTGACTGGGGGGGGGGGATATAACTTGAATCTGTTGTTCCTTAGTCTTTAGATGGACATTATTGCTCTTCAGGACTTTGGAGGGGTGCCCAAGACCTGACTTTCCTAAAGCCCTATGTCTTCTAATCTCCTGAAAGCTGGTCAAGGGTGTTGACAGTGGATCCAAGTAAGAGGAAAGAATTGACAATTTCAATCTTTTCTCTATCATGATGTTGTCTTCTGACCCAGTAGTAAGGATTTTTGTTTTCTTAATATTGAGATGCAATTCATATCTATACAGTCTTTGATCTTCTGAAACAAGTACTTCAAATCCTTGTTTTTAGTCAATAAGGTTGTTTGTCATCTGTACTTCGAAGGTTACTGATGAGTATTCCTCTAATCCTGATGCCACATTCTTCTTAATAAAGTCCATCTTCCTGAATGATGTGCTCAGCATACAGACTGAATAGGTATGGAAAGAGGATACAACCCTGACACACTCCTTTCTTGATTTTAAACCATTCAGTGTTCCCTTGCTCTGTTTTAGACAAAAGTTTCTTGTTCTAGGTATAGATTTCATATAAGCATAATTAAGTGTTTCAGAATTCCCATTTGTCTCAATGTTAGCCATAAATTGTTAAGATCCACACAGTCATATGCCTTGTATAATTAATATAACACAGAGATACATTCTAGTATTCGCTGCTTTCACTTGAGATCTGACATCAGTGAT